ACAGATTTGTTTTACGCCAATAAATTGAAGCTTTCATATTCCAGCAATGAAGAAACTAGTTAGTTACAAAAACTATTTAAAAGCCAGTGTAAAATTCAGCTTCATAACTCTTATTGTGGTGCGTGGATTCATCAATCAGTCAGTTAACGTGTCAGTTAGCACAAACAGTTAGAATTAACAATATTATTGAATTGAATTGAAAAAAGGCCAAGGCAAAATATAACATAAATTTGAATTTTCTTTTCATATCATGTCAAGAATGTAAAAGGAGGTATTTGTAATACTGTTTAAGGTTATGGATACCTATGAATCCCTTCAATCTTGTTTTTTTGGTATTGACTAAATATTGTTCGCCTGTAATCTTAAGTCAAAGATTGTTGTGCGTCTAGCTAACTGTCGTCAGCTTTCTTTCCATCTATTTAATTGATTTACTGACAATAAAGTATATTATCAAAAAACCAGATTGCAATTCTAAATAATGAACACGTCCTTGAGCACTGTATAATGATGGTTTAAGATGCTTTATGTTTCTGCAAATTGCAATAACTATGAAATATGTTTGAAGTATTTGGGCTCATCAGAAGTTCCGCTTGCATTTATGGAAAATGTCATCAATAGTCATATTTGGATTTTTTCGACATTTTCCACAAATATAGTGAAATAAATTGTACAGCCAAAATTGTAATAAAAATCATTATTTTATTTTAAATATTTGCATTATTAGACTAAAGACTCCAAATAGCAATAGAAAAAATAGTAATGTGTTTTTCAAAATAGTGTAAATACACTTAAAGTATAAATTTATAGTAACTTTAACCTGAATTACATTTTTGCAAGCTTTTTCATCCGAACTTCTTTGCATTAAAATTACATTCTTTGATCCGTTGAGTTTTAAGGTGCTATTTCTGATAAGCTTTGTCTTTTGGGTTAGTACTAAGCAGGGACTCGGCACGAAGTGTCTAAAAAAAATAAATAAATAAAATAAATTGAATAGTCTCCTATAACCATCGACTTGGCTAGTTCTACGCCCTTGACAAAGTTTATGATACCCTGTATACCAATTAAACTGGTGCAGGGCATACAAATGAAACAGATACAACTTAATGCAATCAAAGTGAAAGTGAGAACACGCCAATAAATTAAACCCAATCAGAATCACTACCATATAGCGTATATACAACACATATATAGCTCATGGGTATAGAGATGACAACTACTTCGTTTGGCTTGGCCCTTGTAATTGGCTCTGGGTCTCGGAGTCTTGTCGATTCGCAAAATAAAAAATCGCAACACAGCGCGCGTAATTCAAATTAATTGCCGGCAATTGTGACTTATTTAAGCCAAAGGCGCCATTTAATGCGACCAACATGGATATGGATGCAACATGTTGCAATGTCACTGATAACTTAAACGGCGCGATCATTGCCAAGCAACTAGGTCTAAAAATTGGTGATGTGCGTGTGTGTATCGAAGCATGATGTAATTAAGTAATTTGCTTAAACGTTTTCCTGTTTCTACATAAATTGTTCATATGTATATAAGAGCGCAGTCTGTTGGGCAGTTGGCCATCAGCTGTGAAATATGCAGAGACCGAGACTGAATTTTGAAAAATTTTAAACACAACTTTGTAAAATTAGAAAACTTTTTGGGAATTTTTTGCTTGTCATGCTATTTGTCTTAAATCATTTTTTATATACAAATTCCAAATGGAAGTCCACCAAGTTGTAAATAATTGTATCTTATTTACCAAAGCATTTTAAAACATTTTGCCACATGTTGGCTTAAATATCTAAAACGTGTTAAGTTATGAAAAGAGAAAGACTTGGCTTTAAGGTATCTTCTAATCGATCTCTCTCGACTAGAGTATTTGTGCATTTATTAATTTTTTATTTATCCGCTGAACGTGAAAAATATTCTTAAGGGAAAACTCTTACTGCACTCGATATTCAATCTGCTCCAAGTGAATAATAGAAAGCCAATTTAATTGTTTGTTTACAAGTGAAAGTAAATATGTATGTATTTATGCAAATGTGGACTTGATGTCTTGACTCAGTTACTTATATCGATGATCGATTATATGTCCTGCAGACTGTCAAGTTGTGTGCACTCAAAAATTATGCTTTGAGTGTTTGCCAAATTGTTGTCTCTTCATTTATAATTGAATTTAGAGCTCTTTGTGGTGGCTGTGGGCGTCGCTTATCGCTTTTGGCTGGCCGGCAGCTGTGTGGCTTAATTGTTTGTAATTAAATAAAATTGTACAAGGTCGCTTACAAACTCACACACTGACATTGGGACTATGGACCATGGCTACCAATTTGTTTTAATATATAAAATATACATGTATGTAATGAAAACGCCGGCCGGCCGGCGAAATTATATTTGTTTTGTGTAGTACGCGTCTGAAAATTGATTCCTGCTCATTATTTCATTAAAAGCATTCCGAGCACTTGGTCACTCAGTCCACTGCCGGGACGGAGATGGAGACATGGCATCGTTCTCGTCGTCGTCGTTGACGTCGTCATTGTCGTCATCATGCTCTGTGATTTTTGCCTGCATTTTGATCTGATTTTATGAATGAAATTGTATCAATTGATTGTTTTGGTGCTGTTATCGTTGCCTTTTGATCGTCGATAATTAAGTCGGGGGTGTGTTGTCTTTTATTTTGTCTGTCTGTACATCTATGTACAAAAGTGCTTGCTAAATAGATTTGAGTTATTGGGAGTGGGTCAATCGCTGTTAGTGGCTTAATTAACAAATCAAATTGTCTAATGGAAATCAAATTGATTTGATTGAAGGAGGCGCTAGCCAATTAATTTTCAATTACATTCAAATCCAGCTGTAATTTTACAGTTACACTTTGATTTTAAATTCCAAACTTGCCTTAAGATCGAACTTTAGCATTTGACCTAAATACATACAAGAACAAAAAATATCCACAGTTTCTAAATATGCAGGATAGCCTCCAATTGTGAAATATATTTTTAATATTAAAATCATTAATCGTCATTAAAAAGTTATGAAATTTTAGATGCATTATGTGAGCGCTCAAAAAGTTGAATACAAACGATCAATTTAAAATTTATGTAGAATAAAAAGAATAACGCAAGAAAACAAAAACAAGAGCATCTAAATTCATTCATAAGCCATAGCTTTTTTTAAATTAATCATAAAATAACTGCTTGTCAAATACGTAAGTTAATGTTCAAGGATTTTGTTACTTAGATATCTTTTGGGCTCGCAAAACAAATCAGTAACTACAAACATACAATTGTGTGTATGTATTAACACAAGGCATATACATACATATATAATCATTTACTTATTTACATATACATTTACATACTTTCACACAGATATATATATATAGATACTTGTGTGTATGTAAATATGAATATGCGACATGAAATTCCAAAAATATGTACGCACTAGTCACAGACTGTGCACATGTACGCCAAGCGCAGGCTAGATGGCGAAGGAGAAGGAGAAGGTGGAGAAGGGGACGCGGATGACATGCGGGCAAGTTTTTCAATTGATCTTAACGAAGCTTAATTGCTTTCGCATGTATTGGTGTGTACATGTGACTCGAAAAACAAACAATAGGGATGCTCATTCGGAAAACAAACATCGATATTCCCTGCGATACGATACATCGTAATGTTTCTTACGTTTTGCTTCTTCTTTTTTTAAATTTGCAATCATTGATCTTGGGCTTATGCAGCTTGTGTTCATATTACAAATAATATAATTTTCAATGAATTAAGCAGTAATTGTGAGAAATATGGGCTATCTTAGGCCATCGAAATATTGCATAAGTTTGTAGACCGGAATGAAATTGCTGGCATCCAAGTTTCACTATAATTATTAAATCTTGTATTAGTAAAGTAGTTTGTTGCTGATAATTTTGTGTCCAAATATAAGGAACTTAGTAGTATGCATATCTTGTGAGTTTGCTTCGGATATATAAAAAAAAGAGTTTGTCAGACAAGAACTCATCTTTTGACCGATAGTTCCTATGGCAACAGAAGGATAGATATACATACATCATGTATATCAAGTTCCTTCAGGGTAGCTTAAAAACTGAGAGACTACTTTGCAAATAATCAGGCAGACACATGACCATTACTCTATAGACTCAGCTGCAAATCGAAAAAATATATTTTTTATGGAGTCGACTTCCTCAATGTGTTGTCAGCTTCACACAAATTATAATATTCTGACAGATTGTAGATAAATACAATAAAAACATATTTTAAAACAATTGTACAAAAATTATAGAAATTGGCTTGAGTAGCATTTTTCAAGAAGTTTTTCATGCTATTGTTGACTATTTCATAATTTTATATTGGTAAATAAATAAGCCATTACTTGACTGAGTCTTGAAATCGGACGAGCGAATGGACTTATTTTTTCTTTTGAAAAACTTCGCACTAAAAACTAATTTTAATGCTTGAATAACAAAATAATTAATATCTTTAGGAATAGTATATTTAGTCTACTGAAGACTGCAATCCGAGTCGTACTTGAAATCTGAACAATTTGTACATCATTCGTTTCGGCCATACTTTTTTGTCCACTTCCTTCTGAATGTTTCTGTATGCTGTACCCGATAGACCAGATAAACTTTGATCTAAAAAGTTATCTTATCCAAAAAGTTATGTTTGTTTAGCATTATCATTTTTCTTTTCTCAGGTTTTGAACAGATTCCTGTATTTATTGTCCGATTGATTTTAACTGTCAGGGTAAACAAATTAAATAGTACAAAATATTTGTATGAAAATCAGAAATGATTCTTTAAGAATTCGATTAAGTATTAGAAGATTTTTTAAGATATAAAAGTAAACTTGAGGAATAAGATTCATACTAAATATTATGTTTCACCCGACTTTAATAGCAAGAGCATTAATTTTCAGTATCACCAATCAAGTAAAACCAAAAAAAACTACACGGAAATTCATGCATTTCAAGAGAGTTAGGGTTTTTTTAAGTATCAATTTGTTTCATTTTCAATGGTAAATGTAGCGCTTGGCTGTTTAATCTTTGGACTTACGAATGTTTCACACTTTTCAACTTAAAACGATCGAATTTGCTAAGTAAATAACCAATGCATGTAAAAAACTAAATGATAACTAATGATGGAAACTTTTAAGGGGTTGATTGACAGACTGTGGCTAGTAAATAGCTGTGATCACATTCAGAATTCATTTAGCTTAAGCATTGGCAAAGTCAATGCCCTTCTGGATGTTCTTCTTCAGCTCGGGAATGGCGGCCTCCAGCAGCTTCTTCTCGTAGTCGTTGAGCTTGGGCAGTCCCAGGTTCTCCTGCAGGCCAGTCTTGCCCAGCACCAGCGGCGTGGAGAAGAACGTTGCCTCCGTAATGTTGGACTGCACGTATGAGCACTCGATGACGTTCTTATCGCCATTCAGACCCTTAAGCAGAGAGCCAGCAAAACGAGCGCCAGCATAGGCCATCGATAAGGTGGCAGATCCAGCTCCAGCCTTGGCCTTAACCACCTCAGTGCCGGCCTCCTGAATGCGTACGGTCAGCTTCTCAATAGCATCCTGGTTGCCTTTGAACTGAGGCTGGCTCTGCGACAGCACTGGCAGAATGGTGACGCCGGAGTGGCCGCCAATCACGGGAATCTGCACGCTCTGGGGATCAACGCCAAGGGAGTGGCCAATAAAGGCGCGAGCACGAACCACATCCAAAGTGGAGACACCAAACAGACGCTTGGGATCATACACGCCGGCCTGCAGCAAGACAGACAATTAGCGGCTTAATTTCTGATTGTTATTAGAGTACATACCTTCTTCAGAATCTCGGCAGCAATGGGCACACAGGTGTTAACGGGATTCGTGATGATGGCCACAAGTGCCTTGGGGCAGTTCTTGGCAATTGACTTGGAAATATCCCTAATGATGCCGGCATTCACATTGAAGAGATCATCGCGAGTCATGCCGGGCTTGCGGGGAACGCCAGCGGGGATGACAACAACATCGGATCCTATCAATTATAAAAGGGAATCATTAAAATTTTATTTAACATCAATTATTTTTTGTATTGCAAACCTTTTAAATATTTATATTATATATGAAAATTGATTGGAAACCTGATTTTATATGGAAAATAAATTTAAGTTCTAAATAACCAATTATTTAATATGTGATTTATCGATTTATTGTTGTAAGATTTGAACCTGTTAATTGCTAATACAATTATAAAATTTAGTTTGTATACATTAATAATTATTTATCACTAAAATACTACATGAGAAAAATATGTTATGCTAAAAATAATATGCATAACAACACATAAATACGGCTGTCATAATATAAGACAACTTTGATCTTTTGTATTATGGTTCAAATGCTGGCTACTGTTAAGAAATTATACAAAGCCTGCACTGATTACACACGACGTCTAAATGCCCAATAAACCGTAAACTGCCCCCTTATCAAACTATGCTCTTATCAGCGTAAATATATATACATGTATATATATATATATATATATATATATATATATATTAGTCTGTATATGCTTGACAATTTTTTGATTGTTTGCTTAATTATGTCTAAAAATGCAGATAGTCCCCAAATGCATCTCTGAAATTATGTCAGTATGGTAATTTTCCACTCGGTGTAAATAGTAACCTAACCTCACTTTCTGTATTCCACTTACCCTTAAGCGAATCGCCCATTTGATCGGCGCCCATGAAACCCACAGTCTTGCTCTGGGTATCGATGTGAGACAAATCGGCGGCCACTCCGGGCGTATGCACGATATCATACAGAGCCAGATCCGTAACCAAGGGATTCTGCTTGAGCAACAGCGACAGCGGCTGGCCAATGCCGCCGGAAGCGCCACATACGGTCACCTTGTAGTTGTTCTGCCGAAAAAAAATATATATTATTAATCAATATTAGTTTGTTATTTAAGCTGAAGTTTAAAATATCGTGGAATTGCTTTGAGTTTTTGGTAAGACTAAAAAATGCTGTTAAGATTTTTTGACTATTTGTCTCGTTACGTAAACATCTTGAACGAAAATTCTGCGGTTTTTCTGTTTTGCATGGTTTTACTCACCTGTTGGCTGACCGAAAAGTTGCGCACGCCTTGCAGTGCCAATTGTTTTGTTACTTGCTTCAACATTTTGTTTTTATTTTATTTTTGTTTTTAATAAAATGTCCCAAAATTCAATTTGCTAAACAATAAGCAGCTGCGCAGCTTGCAAAATCCCAATAGCTATTCGCGAAAAGCTTTCGGCCAACCCGGCGCAAGGTTAAATGCTGGGTAATCGTGTTGTTGGAATACGTGCTTGTGCTTTAACAGCTGATGGCGGCAGAAAGTGTGGTGCTGCCAACTTTTTTGACAACGAAGCGCGCGCGAAAGCTTTTGTTTACATTTAAGGTAATGCTTATATTTGATTTGTTTTGTTTTGTTCGATTAGACACATAAATTGTTCGTAACATATGCATTAATTAAAATTGCTGCAAACGCAGCTCAACCTGCAGCGCAATGCATGCCCGCCGCTCTTCCTTCAGCTCCATGCCGAGCATTTGCTTTTTGTGCTCCAGCAGCGCATTCTCCCGCGTATAATGCTCAATGATCCGTTCGTAGTCGCCTTCTTCGGGCAGTTGCTCTTGACTGGCGATTGCTGTTGCTTGCGGTTTCAGTGCTTCCTGTTCGTAGACTTGCTTCAAGCGGAAGATCTCATTGCGCTCGGTGATGATGCGCGTCTTGAGCTCGTTTTGCCAGCTCATTAGTTCATCGAATTCAATTTGCAGTCGCAACAACTCGTCACGTTGCGGATTTGTTTTGGGCAACAGCAAATAGCCCGTCTCCTTGTCTATGACTGAGGGTGGAGATGGCGAGGAATCTGTCGTAGGCATAGCCTCACCGAGCTGCTGAGCTGTCGCCTCGATTTGAGGGGGATTAGGCTTGGAATCGGTTGTATCCTCGCTGATATTGGCTGTGGGAACTGTTGGAACTGTGGCCACTGTTGGAACTGTTGTCTGAGGTTGTGCTTCTGGCTGGACTGATTGGGGTGGTGGTGGTGGTGCCGATGTGCTGCTCTCTACTTCGTCTACGGATTTCTCCTGCTTCTTTTCGCAGCTGCGCAATTTGCGTTTTAGCTGCGTAATAATCCGTTGGACCTCCCACAGCTGCTCCTCGCGCTTCTTATTGATGAAGCCCTCGTTCATCTCGTTGTGGATTTGGGACAGCAGACTATCCTGTTTGCGCAGCTCCATTTGTATCTCCTCCGGTTTATCCGGCAACTCGGGACTCGCAGACGTAAGTGGCGGAACATATCTGCAAGAATTGTGGAACGTTAGTTGGAAATCTGGAAAATGGATTGATGTGGATTGATCACTGCCTGCCTGCACGCAAAGATAACAAATCGCTGAAAACGATTGCGTGTACGCCGTATTAAACTCATGTCTATTATCCATCTGAGAGAGCAATCTCTCCGTCAGCACATCATGCGCAGCAGCTGTAATCTAATCTGTAAGCTGGTGCAATGTTTACTCACTTTATCAGTTTGATATCCGGGAACAGATGCGTGGCATGGTACATGAGCACGACCATTAAACGTTGTGACATCTGCAAATGCTGTCGGAGCAGCAGCGCCAATGATTGGGCATTGAATTTGTTGTAGCGACACTGCTGCACAGTTGAATCGAAGTGCAACATCAACCAGCCAAGGAGCGTTCGATTGCATTTCGGCAGCTGTTCGACCAACTGCTGCAGCTCCGTCTCTCGCTTGGTGACGCTGCGATTTCTGGACACCTCCTCGAAGCTGGTCAACAGATCTGTGGTCAGTATCGGCTCGGGTAGTTCACGCAAAAACAATATTAACAAAGTGCAGGCGGTGTGTGTGTCCATCTCGTCCATGTCGGCATCGTATTCGCGATTGTTGTACAGCCGCTTGAAGTGCGAAACGTTGTGTGGCTCCACCACGTAGATCGTTGGACAGCGCAGCGATTGCTCCTGTTGGAGGACATCAATGCAATCGCGTACGACCAACGGCAGATCGACGCCGTCGTGGCAACGCGAGCGCTCCGTGGCCAGACTGAGGGGAACACCAAAGATCGGGCAGCCAAGGGCGACGGCTTCGTCGTGTTCACTGGTGTCTTCTTGTTGGGTTTGCTTGCTCTTCTTATCCTTTTTGTCCTTCTTGTCTGTTTTGTCCTTTTTGTCCTTCTCTTTGCGCTCCTTTTCCTTCTTCTTCTGCTCCTTTTCATCGTGCTGGCGCTCCTTTTCTTTGTCCTTCTCCTTCTCTTTTGTCTTGAGTGCCTGCTCCTCTTCTACTCCTTTCGTTTCCTTTTCTTTGTCGCGCGATTTTTCACGCTTCTCCTTACTTTTAGAGCTGACGAACTTGAAAGTTTTCGACTTCTTCGACTTTGAGGGGCTTCTGAGTGAAGTAAGAAACCAGTTTGATACGTTATTTGTATTTGGATTTGATTGTTGTGCTTACTTTGTGTCAAGTTCCTCTTCGGGCGAACTTTCGCCATCTAGGGCTGCATATCCGCGATCTTTGCCCTTGTCCTTCTTATCCTTTCGTCGCCCAAGGAGCAGATCCTTTTTGCTGTGCTTGTCATAATCCCCTTCGCTAACTAATTGAAATTGATTTTTAATAAGCGCCCTTTTTGGTTGTAAGCCATATTTGGATCTACTTACAATCACTTTCCTCTTTGCTCTTCTTGGACTTGGTATCGGCTGCTTCGGATGCGTATAGGCCGGGAAACTCCTTCTCCTCCGGACTGTCGAATTCCATACTGTTGTGGCGACTTCCCACAAATAAATAATTAATATTAATCAAGTGTGTTTACGCCCCCGCAATCAATAAACAAAGCAGCCGATTCTTGAATCGAATCGATTCTTTTGAATGGAGCTGACAACTTGTCAGCAACGGTTGCAGGCAGGTCTGCAGCTCATAACTCGTGTACAATAGCTATGAGCAAATTAAAATTGGACTATCAATATATGTTAATATAATTTTTTTAATAAAAATTCATAAGTATACAAATGTTATAAAAAAAAAGACAATGTAATGTATTATCCGTCAGTCAGCTTCGTGAATTAAGCAATCTAGAATGTTTGAAAATATATTTGTTAGTTGCAGCTGGGTGAGCAGCGTACCATAAAGCAAAATATGCAAAAAGAGAAAAAGATTTGTTTACATCTTGCATCAAAAAAATATTGGTGTTGCAACGTTTTGTGTGATCGTTCGTTGTAACGTATATTAATTGCATTGAAAATCATAATGTCTGCATTGCGCTTGAGCCAAGTGGAACGCGACCATTTGGCGTTGCTGCAACGCCCGGCCAGCGATGTCCTCGAACTCTGTAAATCGGCATTCGATTATCTTGTGAACGGGCCCAACTTGGAGCGCTACGACTTGCTGGCCAAGAAGTGCGCCGGCGATGTGAGCAGCGTGATAGTGCAGCGGGCCGTGGAGGCCTTAATATCGCTGCTAATCCATGTAACCACAAAGACTGGCGAAACTGTTGACATACGTCAGACATTTCCCGATCTCAGCGACGATGTGATTGAGGTGCTCGAACAGTTCGTGAATAGTAAACACAGTTTTGTGGAGGGTTCGATTAAGTCGGCCAATATACGTGCCTATCGGCTGGTCAATCTCGATTGGCGATTGGAGGTGCGCACAGCGTCCCGCTGTCTTCTACAGCAATCGAATGTGGTGATAACAATGAAGCTCTATTTGCACACCGAGCCAAAGAGCGAGAATCGCGAGCTGCTCGAAACGGATGTGTCCAAGCGGACCGAGAAGGAGCTTAGCGCCATGCAGGAGGATGAGCGACGACATCGCAAGGATTTGCTGGTGCAAACGGATGTCAGCAGCCTGGTGCACATCATTAAATCGCTCGAGGATGCCCTGGCCGAGTCGAAGACGCGTCGCATTAAAAACATTGTCGATGCCATACACTAAATAATATTAACCTTTTAGTTTTTTAGTCATGATATTAACTATATTTTAAGCTGGACCAATTTATTGCAATTACAACTAACTTAAATCTAAGGCCAGTTATCCTTTATTCTCTTGTTGTGGAACTCATTCGGATGCTGCCAAGGCCTCAAGTGCAGCCGCCTTTAGGGCCACCTTCTTTTTCTGGCGATTCTCGCGCTTCTCCTCCGGCGTCTTTCGGAGCGCTTTCACGCGACGCGTTTGAATGGAGCCCGTCTGTTGTTTGCCCATGTGGACGCGACCCTTTGTATTGCCCAGGGGATCGGTGCTGATGTTCTTCTTCTTGGTTACTCGCAGTTGCTTGGGCTGCTTTCTTGCCAGCTTGTATAGATCCTCTGATGCAATTTTGGTGCGACGAACTGAAAAATCAGCCGATGGTCCAATCTCTTCCAGTTCAATGCGCGGCGTCTTTTGACCCGACTTCTTTAGCAGTATTTTGTAGGAACGCATCAGAACACTCATGTCGTTTGTGACGGTGAAGCTGAGCACATGCTCCACACCCTGCAGCCGTATGGACTCGACCTTCTCCCGCTGAAACATGTCGATGAACATGCTGCGCAAGCGTCGTAATTCCTCCGTTTGGGCCCACTTGGGACCATTGAATACCAAACAGGGCTTCACACAAGCACCAATTTTATCGTTCTTGAACTCGGCGATGGACTGATATCGCTTAATCCCAAGCTCAAACATATCCAGCACCTCGTTCTCGAAGATGCGACCAATGAGAATGTTGTCAGGACGCTTTTTAGACGTTGATCCAAATGTAAACAGCGCCGTATCATTTTTCATAGTCAAACTAAAAACAAAATGGAGACAATTGTCGGATTCGGATTGTGTTAAATTTTAAATGACAATTCACTTACAACTCCAAGGAGGAGGGATCATCGAAGGGTGTAATGTCGTTCTTGCGATGTAGAATCTTAACCAGTGGCTTTTTCAGTTGCTGCAGATCCCTCATGCACAATTTCACATTTCCACTGCATTTGCGTCCGTCCACAAATAACATGCTGCGAGCCGACTCGATGAGCTGCGGCTCGCGGGCCAGCAGAACTTTCTTGCCCTTACGGGTTTTTGGTTTTCTGCAGATCAAGAAATTACAGTTATCTGCAAGGTATTCGGCAATTGTAAGAAACATACCTGATGCGTAAGAGCGACATGCTTAATTTATTGTTATTTTTATTAACTTAATTCACGCACGTGTAGCCGCCGTTCAGTCAATGCCAACTGTTTGCAATTTGACGATGCTTGCAAACATAAACGCAGGTTGGCAGCGCCGTGTCAGCTGCTCGTTGTTTATTGTGAATAATTATTGTGAATTGATGTGCAGCTCATCTGTTGCATGTCGCGCTCTAGCTTTCATCAAATTTTAATTAAAATGTTATAAATATGTTGTTACGGAATAGTCAAAACCAAGTACAATTGTTGGTACGTAGTTGTTTCCATGTTACGCGCAGTCTGACAACGCTAAAGAAGACGGCCGTCAAAGAGCCAAAATCAAAGCCTGCAAACAGTTCAGAATTGCCAACCACGGATGACTCCTTGAATCCCAACTATTTGGCGCGAACGCTTGGTGAGAGATTAAAACAAAAACAATAGAAGAAAGAATACCTAATATATGTAACTTGTTCAGGCAGTAGCTATCGCACTTGGGCCGCCGCTCTTGAGAAACATCCCGAACTGAAAACGATCAAGCGAAAAGATTTACTCAATTCGTATGACACATTGAAGTCATTGAAATATAGTGTGGATGATATTGTTAAAAAGCCGATGATCATTTACTATGGCGCCACAACGCTATCCAATCGCCACAGTGTGCTCGTCGAGTGTGGATTCGAGAATGTCACCATACAAACCTTATTCAAATATGTTACAGTTATCAACAAGCCGATTGGTGTGCTGAAGGCCCACCGCTTTATACCATACGATATGAATGTGCCTCAGCGTCTGATTGAATACTTCACGAGTGTCAAGGTGCACCACGAGAACGTCGATGAGGGCGTCACCTTAAAGGCATTGCGCCAATCGATGCTCAATGTGTATCTGCGTGAACGCCTACAAATGGACGATGCGGATCTGCAGAAGCTGTGGCGCGTCTATTCCCGTGTACGTCATAAGAGCTTTCGCTCCATCGAGGATACGATCGAATTGCTGACCAATGTGTTTAAATTTTCGGAGGAGCGGCTGCGAAAGAATTGTTTCCTCCTGTACGCAGATGCAGACAATTTGCGCCGCATTCTTCAAGAAATACCCACAATCAATGGCCAAGATATACGCGACATTGGACATCGTAGACCAAAGATCTTGATGTCCACCTGTGATGGTCTGAAGCAAACGCTGCAGCATGTCCGCTCTTTTGGGATCAGCGAGGATGCGGTCTTACGCTGTCTCGAAGTGCTTACTCTGGGGCCAGATACGGTGCTGGAGCGCCTTCGCGATCTAAATGAAATCGAGCAGTTTCAGGCGCTAGGCAGCAATCCGCGTGTACTCCGCTTGGTGCACTACCAGAACAAGGCTCGTCTGCGACTCGACTATTTAAATCAGCTAAAAGTCCGCTGCGCCTCATTGCACATTCTCTCCTGTGGCTCTGAAGCATTTGCCAAGTGAGTGGATCTATTAATTTATTCAACTAAAATGAATAAGAATATGTTCAACTTATTTTATTTTACTTTAATAGATTTGCCCGCGATGGCTCGGATCGAACAAAGGGTCGCGACATTGTTGTCTATCTGAGTAATATGCTTCTAAAAGATGAGCAGATGCTGCGCAATTTGCTATCACGTCATCCCAACTGGTGTCACATACCCGTACTGCATGTCAAGCAGTGTCTGGAATACTTACTTAGCAAAAGATTTAAGCTTGAGGAGATTTTCAATAACATACACCTTTTACTGTATCCAATGTGAGTAGAAATGCCTGCTTCTTTTATTAATAAGCTTGTTTAAAGCTATATTTTCTGCATCGTAGCAAACGCATTGAGGAAAAATTGTTGCTGCTGCAAGCGACTGAGGCCATGGAAGAGCTTCAACTGCCAGTCTCCGATGTGCATCAATTAAGCAACAATGAGATTTTAACGCTCATTTTGTATCTCATCGAATCTGAGTTTCATTTTACGGGCGATGGCATTTGGACGGAGCAGCATACACATCACGTAGAGAATTTCAATAATCTTTTACCTGACTTTCCTGAGAGTCTCAACAAAGTCTACAAATATGGAGTTAAACCGTCAGATAAACTGTCCGCGCAGCATTTATGAAGAACTGAATCAATTGTAAATTGTAGTTGGAAATATGATGATCGCCTAATCCGCATGTTGTATAAAACTGTTGATTTTTCATGATTTTTGTGTTCTTTGAAGACAAGTAAAAAATATACAGAGTGCTATATTTGGATTCCCAAAAACTTTTAAAATTGTTAAAGTTTAAGCGATTTGTATACAATGCATAACACATTAATATTAGTGTGCAAGAGTCGACCGCTTTTCGATTCCAAACACAATCACAAAATTCTTAAAAATCGGTTCACTGCGACACACACCTACAGCTCGATTGTATACATGACGACATGACATATAGAAAAGTGAACATTGTAAAAATACTTATTTCATAATTAAGACTTAAGTGTGCTTATTTTAATCACATTGCTCAGACTCGTGACTTCTGGCACCTTGCGCCAAAGCATCGATCGGTGGCGCCTTCTCATCGTGGCTCGTTTCACTTTGCTCCTCAGTTTTGTCTGCCGGTGGCGTCTGCTTATAGCAACTTGATCCCTTTTGCTCCAAAACATAGGACTCTGGCTGCTCCTCATCGTGCCGCACTATAAATGAATCGTATTTAAGGGATACATGTTTGGTTTTCTCTATCACTTCCTGGTAGGCGGCAGTCAATGGCTTTTGCACAGCCTCCTGATATTTATAATCGTCATCCTACAATAAAAATGAATTATTTAGATTATGTATTATTGCAGTAGTTATTGTTCATACCAAGTCGTAGCTGAGATCCGCATCATATTCGCATGTGTGGGCCACAAAAGGCAGGCAGACGACATCTTCACCTTGCTTTCCTGTGGTGTTTTTCAGTGCTTCTTCGGGTATGTTGTACCATTCCGTAATTAAATTGCATGGCACATGTCCAGCCGGCAGACTGAACTGGCGGGCTACCACAAATGCTTCAATGCTTGAGTTACGGGATGCGGATGGCTTGAAGACGCACACATCCTTAAAGAATCGTTGCAGCTGCAAGTACACTTTGCTGGTATTCGCTGCCCGGTACACTTTACCCATAAAGGAGCCGCCCTCCTCGAGAATGTAGGTCGCAATGCTCAAGGCGGATAAGAGCAGCTGCGCCTGCATATAGGCATCCCAATCGTGACTACCAGTGACATCGGGAGCGCCATCGCTGACAACCAATTGCGCCTTTTTGCCGCCAAAAAACTCAATAATTGCATCTGCTGTTGACTCTTTGGTAATGTCGGCGCGCAACTGTGTGACACCATCAATGGGTGCCATGCCCTGCGTATCCACTGCGATGATCTTCACTTTCTCTCGTTCCTCGACAGTTCGCGGCTCGTACATGCGCCTTGATAGCACCTGGGACCAGCCGCCAGGTGCAGCACATAAATCAACGGCCCGTTCGACACCTGTGTATCAAATATCAAATATGTAGTCATGATAGGATCACATTTGAGATTTAAAAATATTTTACCCTCCAATAAATTAAACGTTTCATCAGCTTGTAGCAGTTTGAAGGCACTTCTTGCGCGCCATCCCTGTTCCTTGGCTAATCGATAAAATATATCCCGCTTATCCTTTGAAGTTTTGCCCATTTTTCAATGTTGCGTATATTGTGGATTTTAAATGCTCTTTTAAATTCAGATCGGTGAAAATTTGCCGGTTGTTTACGTATCTCACTTATTTCGGCACGAGGAACTCAATTCCGATAGTTTGCAGACGGCAGTGCCTGAACTGAGTAACGAGAGACGATTCGATAACAGTCTGATGTGATAATTGAGGACTATCGGCGACAAAATAAAATAAATATCGAGTACTCTATTTTAACGTGCAGTTTTTTTTAAACTATAGCGGCTTAAATACACAACGTAGAAAGATTATTATGAACTTCACAGGGATTATTTACATAATTCAAGGACAAATTGCATGTATCTTGTAAAAAACAGAAAAACCTCTGAAAATGTTCATCTGCTTAAAGAAAAGATTTTTAACAGATTTTCAAAATTGTTTTTTTTTATCTAAAAATATTTTACATGACACGAAATCAATCTAAAGTTTTGATTCGGATTTATCGTTTTCTTTGACATTTTTTTTTGTCACAGTCGCCAAGCTTATAGGACATAGGCAATAGAAAAACCAATTATATTAAAACAATTATATGTTTGCTGCAAGAATATTCTAGCAGGCTGAACAAGCGACTGCCACCACGCCTACAAATATGTTCGAGCATCGAGGTCTAAAGATATTCACTCGTCAAATATTTTACGCATGTGAACTTTGCGCCATCGTATTGTGCATCTCTGTTTACTGTTTTGTTGTGCTAATGTGATGATAAGATAAGCCATGTTGCTTAGGTAGTGCCCCCAAAATGAAATAATTGGGTGTGTCTGACATATGTTTATTTGCTGTTATCAACAAATGTTTAGCAAATTTGTTGTTGTACTAATCCGCCGAATTTTTTAATAGTCTTTAGGGGTACTTTTACCAGGTCATGACTTATAGACTGCTAGTCCTTATTATTTGAATGTACACTCAAAATTAGATAACTTGAGAGCAAAGTAGTCAACGGAATACGCAAATTATTAATAATCGTTGAAAAAAATTTAAAAAAATTGTGAATATAAAATAATTTTATTTAATTTGTATTTTACATAATTATTAATTATTATTATTAATAAATTAATAATTAATTAATTAAATTTAAAATGCATAAATAATTATATTTTTCATATGCAAAGCCGAGTGGATCCTACAAGTCATCTTTCACCATCAAAAGTAGGGCATAATATGTAGAGGCACGAGTTTAGCCATAAATTCTACTTTGGCCAAGAGGGGTGCACTATATTTAACTGCAGATAAGCAGGCATATTGTTGTTATTGAACCATTGGGATCCATATTTGTCGCTGAAGCTAGAATTGAAAGAGAAATCGAAAGCGCCTTTGATGATGTTGCCAAAATAGCCTGTCCAAGCCTTATCATTGTTATTATTTTCATTTGCTGTTACAAAAATGACGCTTATCAGCGGTCGTCAAGCACGATCCCATAAAATGACTGGGCTTCGACGCAATAGCTGCCGTTTTATGATCCTAAGCATTCTCAATTGATTGGCATTTATAAATGAACACAAGTCTTCCCGTTTTGAGCAGTTCTATGCGATCGCTCGTCGGGAATAGTGGCGTCATCGGAATCGAATTCTGCATCGCGTCGTATCAAAACAATGCCACAGACAGTGAAAGTGGAAACGCAAAACGGCAAAAGTGCCAAAAATGGCGCAGAAGCTAGCAAAACGAATGGAACTAAAACGGAACTAGCTGTTCCACACGGCAGGACTCGGCACGTTTCGGGCGGAGTTGAAGAAATTCTCGATCCCTTTTGTGATCCGAATAATCCGCAATGCATTTCATTCCACGATGTCACATCGGCCGCCTTCTTAATAAAGGGTGGCGTGGAGCGTACTCCCTGTCCAGTAAGTTATCATAATTAAATCATCAATGCGGCAGCGATTAACCTTAAATTTGTAGAAGTCAAAATCGTCAGATTCGTACGGCATGGATTTATATTTGAAAAAGGACTTTCTTCAATATACGGGCAGGTGAGCTTCATCTTTACATAATGCACAAATGTATCTTGACTCAAAATTCTTGTGATTTATTCTGGTAAATTTCTTGGCACTAGTTAATTTTTTAAGTAGAGAACTTCCGCACATTTGCATACATATTCGTTTCGAAGACGGTCTCATTAAATTGTTCATAGATTTTGGGTCAAAGTACAAAAACGCATTTTGTTTTTAATGTAATATATTTTGTTTTATATATAATAATTATTGTCTAGCACGTTAGCCGCGTAGCGATAAGGCATATAATAATAATCAAGTAGGAACATAGCTATATTCTATTTAGAAATGTATTTTCTAGTATATGAGAAACCTTGTTTATAATCGTTGATTCTATAATATTTCATTAGATGGCATGCAGATCACTGAGATATTTTAATGGGTTTCTCTCCCATTACAAATAATTTATAATTCTCATTAAAAGTGCATATTAATCACGAGCCTACTTGAAGTTAACGTATTCCGATAAGATTATAGTTTATGGATCCGAAAATAATGAGCCAATTAACTTATTGCTAATCGGCGTTCGCTTAAACAGGTGTGATACGATCTTATCACATTAATTATTATACGTCAGCTGCAAATTTGGGAAACCATGTGATAAAACAATAATCTTGATCTCTACCATTTACAGCTTTAAGGAGCGTGGGGCGAGATATGCTCTGCTCAGCTTATCGGAGGAACAGAAGCGAAAGGGAGTGATCAGCGCATCGTTGGGTAATCATGCTCTGGCACTGTGTTATCATGGCTGGAAGTTGTCCATTCCTGTCACCGTGGTAATGCCAAAGGCGGCACCAATTATGAAAGTACAAAAGTGCCGCAACTACAAGGCACGTGTAGTGGTCGAAGGGCGGGATATGGGGGAGGCCAAGTCGCTGGCCATGCGTATGTCCAAGGAGGAGGAGCTGCTATATGTGAATGGCTACGATCATCCGCACATTATGGCCGGCCAGGGTACCATTGGCCTGGAAATTCTTGAGCAGGTGCCAGAGCCGGACGCCGTTGTGGTGCCAGTGGGCGGTGGTGGACTTATTGCAGGCATTGCTACAGCTGTCAAGGCACTCTCGCCCAACACAAAAATAATTGTGAGTATTTTAAATAGGTATTTGCACCAGGGAAGCGTTACAGTAAAAATATGTATTTTAAATTTCAATTATGAATTATTTATTGCTCTGAAATTAAAGCGTAATTTATGAGTTTTTTTTCTCAAAAAAATAAAACGTATTTAATGGTTTATAAATTATTTTTCTGTTTGCTTCTCAGAGCGTTGTTCTACTTATTTTTTCTGTTTACTTACTAGAAATTAATGATTACTTTTTTGTTTTATATTATTTCCCCCCCATTAAATAACTCAATTTTCATAAGTTTTTAATTATATACATGTATTTATTTAGGGTGTGGAATCCGAGAAGTGCGCCAGTTTTACAAATGCTATGCAGAATAATGGGCCCATAAGTACATCGATCAAAAACACGTTGGCTGATGGCCTCGCTGTGCCCAAGGTGGGTGTTAATGCTTATGCCACAGCCCTGCCACTAATTGATCGTATGGTGGTGGTCAAGGAGGAGTGGATAGCGGTGGCCATCCTACGTCTGGTAGAGGAAGAGAAGTGTGTGGTTGAAGGTGCCGGAGGCGCTGGCCTGGCTGCAATTTTATCTGGCCATTTGGACGACCTAAAGGGCAAGAAGTGAGCATCTCGAGATTTATAATCAAGCTTCTTCCATTACTCATGACCGATTTTATTTGTCATTTGCAGAGTTGTTGTGCTGCTCTGCGGTGGTAATATTGATACAACAGTCTTTGGTCGTTGTCTGGAACGTGGATTGGCCGCCGAGGGTCGTTTAGTCAAGTTTAATGTGGAGGTCAGCGATCGTCCGGGTGGCATTAATGATCTGTGTGCCCTGCTTGTCCGCGTGGGTGTCTCTATCAAGGACATTATGCATGAGCGTGCCTGGCTACGCGATATCTATACGGTGGAGGTGAAGGTTATTTGCGAGACCGTGGATTGGACCCATAGTCTGGAGTTGAAGAACGAGCTAAAGAAATTTTATTCGAAAGTGCAGTTCTGCGATGTTCCAATGGCACTTAATGAAAGTTCGGAGAGATAAATGATACACTCTATGCGTAGTATCTTTTAATTATTTTCATTTTTATTGTTGCACAAATTTTGCAAAGCGTTGCAAGAATTTGAGCTTTAACTTAGAGCTTGAATGTATGTAAATAGAATTGTAAACGTAGTATAAATGTAAATAGCATAAAATAAATATACAATTCAAATATAAAGTCAAACCAGCATCCAGCTAACGCTTAACGCACAGCATGAGGCATGACTGAATATTTTACATATGTTTAAAGTTAAATACAAACAACTAAAAATTATATATATATGTATATAAATTCAAGACCTTAACGCTAAGAGTTCATCAAGCACACGTTCAGTTTCGAAAAGTTCTCTGGCTTCTTTATCTGCTGTTTTTGGCACAATAAGGATTCGTTACAACAAATCAGACACATACACACACATACACACGGACATATACACACAAGCACACACATAAGCAGGCACACAGCATATAACACACATATGTAAAAATATACAGTTACACGACTATATTATATATATATATATATATTTATATTTATATGTATATATGCATATTTATATAAATATCATTCATATGCTAAAATCTATGTATAGTATATGTAATTATCGAATATTGTATGTATATAGTATTTTATAAATACAGGCATTTCGTTGTTTAGTTCTAAGAAGAGACATACTTTAAAAGCGCTTACTAAAAACTATATTGAGTACTTATTTAGAAATAATTACACTTTCACAAAACATACTGCATTCATTGCGACGCTTACTGACTGTTATCCAGGCGAAGGATCAGCGCATCCACCACATTGTAGATCTCATCAAAATGCGGACGAGACTCCACATCGGCTGCCCAGCACTTTAGCATCAGACGGTACATTTCCGGCGGTGTGTGATCGGGTGTTGGCATCCGATATCCTACAGGAATATAGGAAATAGTTTACACAAATATTAGGACTAGTTATTCAACAATGTTTAAGTAGCAAAGTATCTTTAAGTTATGGCACACATGCATTTTCTCGAAATATTTAAAGTTATTGTCAGGTTGCTAATCCCAAATTTATGATACTCCATTGTTTATACTATCTGAAACCTGTTCTTATTTTATGGGATATGAAAGGTTATTAAATTACCTTTCCAAAAAGCATAACCTTGTATATGAAAAATGTTTGATGTACGAATTAATATTAGGTTTGGTTTCACATGGCATACATTTGTGCATACATTTAAAATAGCAATTTGATATTTTTGACAGACAACAATGATTTTTTATGTGTTTATTTAATCTATGAAATTATTACGAATTTTAAGGTGTGTCCGAATATTTTTAATTGTTAGCGTATCATTTCCAAAACCATTTTTCTTTTTTGATATATAAATTAGTACAGAGCTTTCAAATCAAGTTTGAAGTCGATCCAATGACCGTTTTCCGTATATTTTTTCATTATAATTTTGTTGAAAGGTTTTTTTTTATATAGATTTTGATTTTGTCTGTGAAAATCGCTTATTTATTCAATTAAAAACAGCCTGCTTAAGTTTTGTAGCTGAGATATCCAATTCAAATTGAATTTGAGTTGGTTTGTAATAATGCAAAAAAAGTTGTAGAGAGATCTTGATATGTTTGCATGGAAGGCATTAAGGGTTCGATAAATATTTTTAATCATTGAATCAGTTAAGCTAATAACCAAAGGATCGCCATTGTGGTCCGTACCTGTATCGATGCGTTCTCTGGCACGTGAGTTACTCATTCCCGAATATGGTGTATCGCCCTTGGAGAATATCTCCCACATTAGAATGCCATAGGACCAAACATCGCAGAGCGTTGTGTATTTGCCAAAGTTAAGTGCCTCGGGTGCAGTCCATTTGACTGGTATTTGCTTCATGCCATCGGAAACTGTTGTATGGAGAATAAAAGTTGGTTTACTCCTATCGATATAATATGATATGTGGTTTTGTACGCACCTATGTATTCCTCTTCTTCGCGTGACATGCCAAAGTCAGAGATCTTAACGCTATGCTCAAAGTCCACAAGGCAATTACGTGCAGCCAGATCGCGATGTATGCAGTTCTTTGACTCCAGATAACGCATGCCTAGTATCGATCATGATTCACGATTAAAACAAATGACAACAAGTAATCAATTTTGTGGGTGTGGCTGTAGGTTGGTGTTTTAGTGGATGGGTTGGAGTGACACTTACCAGCCGCCGCATCCCGACACATGCCCATCTGCTGGCGCGTTTGGAGTCCATTGGAGTTTTTGCGCAGAAAGTTTAACAACGACCCACCTGAATGAGAAATATTTAAATATTCGTTAGAGCAAACGTTATAGATATTAATCTCATAATGGGGTTGTTGTGATTCAATATGTTTACACTTAAAATAAGTATTTATCCGCTTGATGAATATTCACCGGTGATCATCGAAAGAAATGGATTTATAAACGCAAGAAAATTATCCTTCTTCTGTTATAAATATTCCACAATTTCTTTTACAGTCAGAAGAGAATTTCTACAGATGCTATGAATACTTTCACAATACTTTCTACGGCTAAATTTGCTTTATAAGGGCTATTATCAAATTTATTTTAGTTCCAATTAAAGGTACATTAAATAATTGTGGCTTGAAAATAAAAAGTAAAAAGAAAATTTATTTAGTGTTTTTAATTATTAATCGAATATTTAAATAATATTTCCTAAGATTTATTTATTGCTTAGAAGTGAACGATTTTTTAGATTAAACTTTTTCCATAAATTCTTGATTAGAAATATTTTGTATACCCAGAAACCGCTAAACTCTTTATGTTATTGAACTGATAGAATAAATTATATAATTTATTCGATTAAAAAAATTTCGTATATTGAACTTACCCGGCACCAATTCCATGACAATCATAATGGGCTGCTTTTGCACACAAATGCCAATGAGTTTGACGATATTTGGATGGTCATACTGTTTTAGGATGCGTCCCTCTTGCAGGAATTTACGCTTCTGTTCATCGGGTAGGGTCATGCGGCAGGTTTTGACAGCCACATCTTGTTTAGTGGACTTCAACTTGGCCTTATAGACATCGCCGAAATTACCCTAAGAAAAATGTAAAGCTTTTTATTGTATTTAGTTCAGTTAGTTAGTGAATGAGTGAATCTTACCCTGCCAATCTTCTCCAGCAGCACGACATCATCGTTGCTTAGCTCCCAGCGTTCACGGCAGACGGGTCGGCGTAGAATTGCGCCGGATTTGACAGTTACGGGCAACTCGGAGTGATACTGATGCATGATAAGCTCCTGTATGCTGGGAAAGGGAGGACCCTCGAACCGAAAGTGTCCATCTCCCGTGGTCTGCACAATGAAATGCTTGTGACCATTCCAGCAGACACTCAGCACAATTTGGCTCTCCTCGTTGCGGATGGTTTCGCGGACAAGGAAATCACCATCGATGTTCAGCAGACGGACGACTTCCTCGCGGGGAAGGACACCATGGAACCACTCCTCCTCATAAAGCGGCCGATTTGTTGATAGCGAGAGCTATAAATATTGAAAATTGGAATGATTAGTGAAATGCCTTTTGAAAATATATATTCTTATATGCAATTAAGTTAAACATGCAAAGCACAAATTAAAAATTTCACACGCCATTTCCATTTCCAAACGGAAATGTGTGGGTGGGAAATATCTGTGAAGAAAATGCAGGCGTATTAAAAGAATAGCCTAAAAAGCGTTATCCAAAAATACATACATAGTACACACAAGAAAATACGCAAAATTTTAAACGGTGCATAAAAATAAATAAATTGTTACTACATCAAATATTGAAATAATACGACAATGTTCAAGGTCTTCGAGTGACTCACAAACAGTTGGGATTTGGGCCGCTTTCTGCGCACCGGCGGCACTGGGCGACCGGCAAAAACAATGGACTCAAAGATGCCACTGTCTGCGGCGCCACTGCAGCTGCTGCTTTGCCCGGAAGTGGTGCTGCTACTCATGCTGAAAGCCCAAGCCCAGCTATTTGCGCAACACAATACTTATTTGCCAAGGGAAAATACCAAATACGAGCGCGCACTATTTATATTAAAGTCAAATTATTTCCAACTTTTCACTGGCCAAACAGCCGCCAAACATTTCTACCTAAGTCGTTATGTATGTATATATATATATCTGCCTTATAGATCAAATCTTTCTGGTGCTTAACGTCTTAGCCACTCGCGAGATCTGCGAGAACTGAATGAAATTTGTTTTGTTGGATTTCGCCCATACTCTCAAACATGTTGTTCTCTTTCTCTCGGGGTACGCACAAGTAAATTTAGCAATATATTTCAGAGGGTCGTTTATCAAGAAGACTATTTTAAAAACATTCTGCTGGCAAGCCATTTTACTTCCTTACTATACTAAAAAATACTCGAAATCACATTTAAATATTTTAAATTAGAAAATAATAATAATAAGGACACATGATTTTTTTTTTTTTAAATTTAAAATTTAACTAATACTATATAACTAATACTATATACCATAACTCAGAATAATTGTAACCAATACATAGCAAACCCTTAATTCTAGACAAGCTTTTAACTTAATTGTAGTACAATCTAATATCTGCTCTAATTATTGTTATTTAATAATTAGACATGTTCTTAAGAAAGTTTCGTCATTGTAAAGGGTTTTATTTCTTGTCAGAGTACTTGGAAAATGTTTAAGCAGCCCTCGCTCGCACTTGCTTCTGAGTTCCCAAATGAATTTATTTATTATGTTAGATATTTCTCGTATTTTTTGTCAAGCACTTGCTACGCGTTCAATATTGAAAGCAGATGAAGTTGAAAGGAAAAGTTGAACATGCAAATCAATCAACATGCAATGCAGGCAGCGACTACGAAATGGAACAGGCGATCAGGTGCACAGTGCCGCCATCTGGCGGATAGTGGTGTTCAGTTTAGATACTGTAGAGGGTGCTTTTTGACGATTTTGGCCTCGATTTTGGTTGATCTCGACCTGGGCTCGCTACTCACACTCGCCGCCAAGCTGGGCACACAATAGCAGTGCTCCTTCATGCTGAGCACATCGTCGCTGCTGCTGTCCCCATTGTCGTTGTCCTCCTCCTCGTTATCCTCATCATCGTCCAGCTCCTCGGAGCTGTGCATCTCAAATGAGCGATCCTTTGGGCCGCGCATTCGCATTGGCTTGACTTTTGGCAGGGGCACGGGACAGTTGCAGAACTGTTCCTGCTCCTCGGTCTGTCCCGGCTCCGTTTCGAATTCCTTGGCAAAGTCAAAGACACTTTTGCTGGGATGGATGCGACGTCGCTTCGTGCACTGCTTGCATGGTTTAGAGCGTCTCAGCTGAAAGCTGAGCAGCTTGGAACGGAATGTGTTACGTATGGCTTTCGATTTCTTTTGTATCTTTGGCACTTTAAATTTCAGTCTTGAGGTTTCCTTGGACGGCGTCGTTGACGTTGTGGATGTGGATGTTGTTGTTATTGTTGTCGAAATCGTGCTCCTTATGATTGTCGATTGGCTAGGATTCGAATTCGGATTCGGATTGTGATTGTTGTTATTGTTACTGTTGTTGTTGTTATTACTACTTTGACTACTATTTGTGTTACTATGCTGAGTATGAGATTCGCTGCTTGTCTCGCTGGGCAGCTTTGTTGCATCTGGTTCCTCGTTGAGAGTTGCATTTTTGGCGATGCGTGCAAGAGGACTCTTGGAGAATTCCCTGATGTTGCTAATGATGTTACTGATTGACTTTTGCGTAAAGGACAGTGAACGCTTCTTGGAATGTCCTCCCTCTTTGCCGCTTAGCTGCGAGGAGCGGCATTCAGAGCTGGAGCTAGAGTTACGCTTCGCCTGCACGTCGACATCAATGGGATCCATTTGCCGGACATTTACATTCTCATCGGCATTTTCAATGGCATTCACATCGATGGGGCTGGTCGGAGTCGATGTCGGATGCAGGCTGCGTTTGAGGCGATTGTCCAGTGCGCGATTCAGCTCATCAATTCTGTCCAGGTGCGCATCGATCGATGTTTGAGGCACTGTTTGCAACTCTTTCGATTCCACGCAATTGATCTCAATCTCAATTTGTTGACGCTTCATCACACCATCATCTTCGCTGACAATGCTGTCCACGTCCACATTTGGATCTGATTGCTTGCTGGTTAACTCCAAGTCCGCATAGATGTGATTGTTATTGGTGTTAGTAGTAATGGCAGCGTTTGTTAGCTGGCTGTGGGGGGCGGGCGAGGACACTGGCAACAACAACAACGGCTCGAGCGGTTCCTCGTCCTCGCCCAAACACAACATGGAACATTGGGTGCGTCGCAAACGAGGCAGCGCCGGCGGCGACGAGCTGAACACTATCTCCTCGCCGAGATAGTGCACGCTGGCCGCCAGACGCAGTGGGTTAGTAGCAGTAATGGACTCATAACGTGCAGGACTACGCGCATCCGTAATTACCGACAGCGATCCCAGGCTCTGTGAGCGTGGCTGCATCTTCGAGTGTCGACCCAGACGTGTCCTGGTCATCGGCGTCGCTGGCTGTGGCGTTGACTTGCGCTTGAAGTGACGACCACGTCCACGCAGGAGCGTTAAAACGCCACCACGTCGCATCAGCTCAGTCATAATGCCCAGGCCTGGTGAGCTAGTGGAGTTGGAGCGCTGTTTTCCGGTGAACGGAATGATTCATTTCAAATGTTTGGGTTAGATTAATGTGTTTGTGTGTGTGTGTGTGGAGAGAGAGGGAGCGGCATCCAGTAGAATAGAAATACATAGTTCAATGTAGTATTAGTTCATATTTAATGGTGACCCACAACCTCACTACGACTTATGGCTAACCAATGCCCACGGATTACTAACTGGCACCTACCTGCTGGTCATTGTTGAAGCCATGCTCAATGAAGTTCTGCTCCAGCGACAGATGATCATCGCAGCCCGAGGGCAGCTCCTCACAGCCGACCTCGTTCAGTGCACACTTGATCATATCGACAAGTTTCTGTTTCTGTTTCTCCTGACACCGCATCGCATTGAGGTCCTTCGATTGCCGACTGATTGGGAGAAAGGGCGAAAGAGAGATGATTAATAAATTTGGTATAAGATATAGGGTTTTTAGCTACACACTTCTGACTATCTTTGTTGGACTGTATGCCATTGGATGTCCCACTGCCATTGGATATGATGCTTCCATTCGCAACAGGTGATCCACCGTTCACATGCTCGATCATCTTCAGCTGTCGCTCCTGGCACTCCTTCACGGCGGACTCCAGCTCCAGCAGACGTGTGCGCAGCCAGTCCACTGTCAGATTGTCCACGGTCAAGGTGCTGGCGGTCAGCTTGCCGGGTATATCCTCAATGAGTGTCTCATCGAATTGGAAGAGTAGCGGCGTTGCGGGTGAAGTTCTACAAGTTCAAATGAAATAATTTATAAAAGTGGTACACAAAAACAAAATTCAGAAATATCGGCCATTTTAGGCACGCCAAATTTTGTACACTGGAGTCAAATTACTATTGATATTGATTTAAATATATATAGACTCGATCAACTACTGGACAAACTACAAATATTTTACTTACTTAACTAAACTATAATTGTTCACTGTGTATACTGCTTACTTGTGTTTCTCTGTAAACTCGCCATATTCCTCAGCTGGGTTAATGCCGCCTATCACAGTATCGATGCGTTTCTGTATCTCTTTGAATTTGTCGGCAGTCAGATCGCCATGTTGTGCCGCCTCCAAGAGTATGTTGCGCCACAAGAGTATGAAGCTCTCCTGCACCGACTGCTGATGCTCAAGCAAACCCGGCAGCAGCACAGTGCGGAAATCTTTCTCCACCTCAATGGCCTCCGTGATAGACAGCACGTACTCGTTGTGTGTGAGATGCAATTTACGACAGGCCTTCTGGTATTTATCTCGAACATCGTCCAGTTTGCGACCACTTCGGCTGGGTGCTAAAGGGGGCAATTGATTCATTAGTGAACTGATACACCACTGTGCCAATGGGGGCACTCACCTTTTATGTAGTGCTCTTCGAAGCGCGTGCGCAACGCCTTGTAGCCCTCCAAATGTTTTTGGTATTCGCCCTTCTTACGCACAACTTCGTCTGTCAACTGCAATGCATAAGAAAAGAAACAAATTATTAGTTATTGGATCTCAAATTGTTGTATATGTGATTTCTTTAAATATTATTGTTAGATAATAATATAATCAAGAGCTATTTTTACAGTTTTATGTAAATATATAAAAACATCCTACAAATATTCATATTTTGTGTTTATAATTAAAAAACAAACATTTTTTTGAAAAACACAATAAAAGTTTTCTTTTTTTTTTCAAAAATATTTGTATTAAATTTTAAAAGTATTTGTTTATTGTACAAATAAATTAGATTGAATTAATTTTTTCATTATTTATTATATTTAATAAAATGTAACAAAATTTTTTTAAGTGAAAATGTGAAATCGTAAATTATTTATATTCAATGCAGCAGTTTTTTTTTAAAGACAGCAGACCCAGTTTTAAACGCTGTTCAAGTATTGAATCAGGCTTTAGATTTACTGATATCATCGGACCTTATACTTGCTTGGAGATCATTTAACTCTCGCTCGATGTAGGTTTCGTATTTACTTTCTAAAATACTTGAACAAAAAAAAAATCAAGTTACTGTCTGGCTGCGCCATTGATCCATTTTCTCATGACCTAGGCCAATTACATGTTACCATGAACTGAGCTTGGCCCTTGACTGCGTTTTGCCTTTCAACGTACGCATTGTGTGCAAATGCGGAAATAGCGGCTGTTTGCTGGGTTTTCTTCACACATTTTCTCACGAAGGTCTATTTCTTTCTCTCTATCTCGCTCTCTCTCTCTCTCTCTCTCTCGTGCAAATGATGGATAAGTAAAGTGAATGGCCAAAAGGACAAATGACTGCAACATGCAGCTGAGCCAACATCCGTTAGCATTGTCAACAAACTCAATATCATTGTTGCTAAACTAATGGCAACAAAAGTGCAGTTATTCTACATCCACACATATCCACATATCCATATCCACTGGCAACACACAGCTGCAGCAGTGTTGCTGCCACAAAGTTGCTTAGTCACTTTGATATCGTGCCATAAGCCAACAGCTCGCAACATTGCACGCAGCCAAAGCAGCCACCTGAGTTCACAAAATATACCCCTTAATAAGCATAAGAAGGGGAATTTCAAAATGTAAATTAAACTTTGATATGCTTAATGGGGCTTTTATTCAAATAGTTTAAAATAACTATATTCCCAATTTTAATTTTAATTATATTTTTATGTAGGGTATCTGATGGTTCAATATGCTAATGACAGACATATTTTTGGACTTTGGCACTGGATGCGACAGACAACAAAGATAAATTGAAGAGTCAGTTTTAGCTATAAATGACTTTCAAAATAGTCAAACACACACAAAACAATTCACATTGATTAGCAATGCAATTCAAATTGAAATTCGGCAAAAATTATAAATGCTACTAAAAATACAATAGACAAAAATCAAGTATATTGCACAAAAGTGCGAACAAATTGTTAACCCATTTTGATGGCTATTTGGATCCGCATCTGTATCATTTGTATATATTTATATATGCATCTGTCATTGAAAGTTTGAATTGTTTTTCAAAAAATAAGAAAGAAAAACACTTTTTCTGTTATCATTGCCAAACATTGTTTGATTATATAAGAGAGAGAGAGAGAGAGAGAGCATTTAGTAGTTAAGTATTCTCAAAGTTCTGACCACAAGTAGTTGGCAAGTGGTTAATCAACTTTCAATGAGCGCTGTCGATAATTCTTGCAGCTGTTGGCGGCTAATTTGCCTCAAAACTTGTTGTTGCTTAGAAAGAGACTCAGACACGAGAAACGAGGAACGACGTGGAATAAACAAACAAACAGACCAAAAAAAAAATAAGTAGATACAAAACACAACTTGAAAGTGGGTCACGCGGCGCATATTTCTTTTATTTTTCTGACCATGCTGAGCAGTCAATAGATACATATGTATATACGGGCCAGCCGCGCCCCTCAACCCGCTGCCGCTGCCGCTGCCGCACCCACTGCCATGAGCCATGAGCCATGAGCCACGATTCGGCTCGCACATTGTTTACAAATGATTGCCAATTTTCCTGCGTCTTCGCTGTGAATTCTGACAAGGAAAGTTGCCGCTGGGCAGCTCAGCTGCGGCACCTGCACAACTTTCTTTGCTTTTCTCACACAATCGGGCTTAATTGGTCATCTTGGCTGTTGCCCAGTGTCCAGTTGTTCCCAGTTTTGCAATTTATACTGGCTCTCTACAGCTATTCAGTGTATTCAGTATTCTTGCCTGATACAACGCATGGCATAAACATTTTTGATTCTGCGAACATATGCAAATGCGGCGATGACCTAATGGAAACTGTGACAACTTGTGCCAAGTGCCACGTTTTGCATTAATAAGCTCAATTCGGTTTTCTGTTCCCTCTGCTGATTTTTTCTTTTGGGGTTTTGTTTTTATTTTTGATTTGTTGTTCTTTTTGTTGTTGTTTTTCTTTGCGTCGAAAGCAATATATGAAAGCATTGGCAAAAGCTGTTATTGTTTATATTGCAAATGAAATGACAAGCAAGTAGAAATGCTTTGGTCGAATATGATATACGTGGATATACCCTCACGTAATAAAATATATAATTTACTTGCAATATACAAACTGATAACGAAATACTTATAAATGTATGCATATATCCAATTATGTCTAAAACACACATTTTGTTACATTGTCTGTTTAGTTATATGCTTTAAGGTCTCCTGTAGACTCAAGCAGATAGATATTAAACATTACTCTCTTAGTGTAAGCCAAACATTATTTTATGAATGACAATATATTTAAATACTGAAGATCGTTGTCGAAGAATAGGTCAAGTAAAAACTATTCTCATTCGTCTGCTATTCAATCGGAATATGTATGAGAAATTGTATTATTTTGTATTCTTTATTGCATATTTTCAGCTTTTCAATTTATATCGCGAACATCTTTAAGATGAATATAAATAACTTATTTTTTATTATTTTATATGCATATCAATCAGCTGCACGTGCTATCAAATGTACGTACATACATAACACAATACATTAAAATTAGTTATTGGTCTATTAGCACAGTAGATATTCCTTCAGCGTAAATAAAACCCCCCCAACCAATAGCAACAACAATAGTCGTCTAACAAGGGGAGGCACTTAAAAAACAACTCAATCAAGCGAAATTCAATTCATGTCTACACTTTCGAAGAAATTGCCGTTAATAAAAATAAATTTGTCAAATGTATTGCAGAGTCGTGACGTAATAAAAAATACCCGAACAGCAAAGCACAAGAAAAAAAAATGTGATAACAACCACAATAGCAAACTTAAATCTGAGCCACACTCGTGGTTGGAGGCAACGGAGCTGATTTTTGTCTGTTTCGGCACTTTTGTATCTTTTATGACGAGGGCAGCGCGTGAGACTTTTTCTTGGCTTACAATTTGAATAAGAAATGGTGGAGCAGCTGTGACAGCAATAACAATAACAACAACAACAGCAATAATGTGGTCCAACGATTTTCCTTTTGTTGTGGTATTTGTTGTATACGTGGTCCACAATTCGAGTCTTTGGGAAATCAATGCAACTGATTGTGTGGCATTTTCCATAGTTAAGCGCCAGGCGGTGCCTAGAGTCAAGTTGCATAAGCGTTGACAGCACCAATAATAATAATAATCATAATCATAATGATAACAATAATAATGACGAGTCTCTCTTATGAAATATTAAGGCGTCTTAAATATGGGCATTTAGCTAGCAATTGCAAGTTATGCAAATTTATGAACATTGGTCAACACACACACACACACACAAACAAGACACAACACAACTCGCAGTTGAACGTTGTGGTTCGTGTCTGGGCTAAGTGCTGGTCAATGAACTTTGCCGCCCTGCGCTGCTCGGTTACCAGGCTTATAAACAACACAATGGACACAACTGTAAGCGCATTGCGGCCTCTTTTTGTTGGTATGCCTTTTTTTTTTGGATCATCATGCATCATTCAAATTGAGAAACATTCATTCCAATTCATTCAATTACCATTTGCGAATATTTAATAAGCAAAATACTTTCGATCCACAAACCAAACAAATGCCAAGCGAACTCATTTAAATAGCCATTTCACATTTCGATACAATTCCAGGCAATATTTGCGTGTAAATAAATGCAAAAAAATGTTTGCATAAGTTTGTGTCAGGCACTACTTTCTATTTCCGTCGAATATTAAAAGCTGACAGAAGAATAGAATGCCAAATCGAGCTACATTATCCACTCAAGTGAAAGTGTGTACGTCAGCGGTAAACCAATGATTTTTATGTTTTTTTTTTTTTTTGGGGACTGGCCAACACAACGAGTTTGTTGCTTGAGTCTTTAGTTTTAGGGCAGAACGCAAAAGGCGCAGCCGCAAGCTGGCAGGAAGATCTTAATTTGCAGGCTCAGGAGATGAGGCTGTTGAACCACTTTTCAGTATCCAAAAGCCACCTACGTGTCGGTGGCAACTTGTTTTGCATAGCATACAGGCATACAGGCAACTCAGCTCAGCTCTTGCCAGTAATTCGCCAAGCAGATTAAAACGAACGTCTCACATAAATTTCAAGAGCCGAGCAGAGCATAAAACTTAATGAAAAAAAAAACAGAAAACAGAAAAAAGAAAACATACCCTTAAAGTGGCCATAAAAAGTAGCCAAGCATCTTCAAATTTAATGTCTTTCGTTCCCATGTATTGGGATGTAAACAAATTATCATAATGAAATACATTGCTGTTTCTTCATTCGAAATAAATAAAAAGCGAATTATCAATGTGTTGAAAAGAAAGTATTCCATAAAGAATGCAAGTATTCCATGTATTTAAACATTTTTTATAGTAGATTGCAACATTTTTAATATCGAATAGTAACTACAATTTAATATCTAGAATGTTTTCCTATGAATAAGAATCAACGATTCGAAGACAATGAACTTGTTCATTCTAGACTTAAGAATATATTTTTGGTTTATTTTGGATTGTTGGCTTTCCATTCACTTCTCATTTTGTTA